GATAGCCATGTGATGTGAGTATCAGTCACATCACAAAAGCCTGAATTTTGCCTGAAACTCTCAGACTGAAGAAGTCTCTTGGAGGAGAGACGAAACGTTTCATTAAAGAAGAACCCGTCCAGAAGAGCTATACAATTTTTTTCTTTTTGATATTTTACCTGAATTACTGAGATGCATCAGGACACTTTTAGCTACTGTTTTGCTAGTATTATCTAAAATGTGCTCAGCCTTTATATATTTGCCAGTGTTGATCTTTGGTGTTGTTGAACGGTCTCAGTGTCCTCTGGGTGTTTCAGGTGGACAGCGACACCATTTGGAACGAGGTCCACTCCTCCAGCGCCGCTCGCCTCGCCGTCGGCTCCGTGGTGGAGCTCGTTTTCAAAGTGGCCACCGGAGAGCTGAAGGTAAGCCTCGTTGTTGTTGCCAAAGGCATGCCTGTACACCACTGCACAGACTTTAAAGCACTTATTGGACTTACAAACAAAACTSCAGCTTTTGGAGGAGGATTTTTAAGACACATGCTACTCTAACACATCTTTGAACATTAAACAAAACGGTGTAAACACATTTTATATCAATAAAAAACAAGTAATGTTGCTGAGTTGTTGTTATATTTGTTGTTTTCTGCTTTGTTTGTCAGAATGGTTTTGCAGTGGTCCGCCCTCCAGGACACCACGCAGAGGAAAGCACTCCTATGTAAGGCTGCACTCCGCAGCGCCCCTGCATTTGTTTTCCCTCCTCACCACGGGTTAAAAGGAAAGTCTGAGGTTGTTTCTGTCGGCTGCTGTTTCAGGGGTTTCTGCTACTTCAACTCGGTGGCCATCGCAGCCAGACTTCTTCAGCAGAGACTCAGCATCACCAGGATCCTCATCGTGGACTGGGTCAGTCCTCTGAGGGCCCGTTTAGGTTCAGAGTTTATGTCTCAACGACARGTTCGTAATGATGTCGCTCTCTCCATCCACCCTCAGGACGTTCATCACGGCAACGGGACTCAGCAGGCCTTCTACGACGACCCTAATGTCCTCTACATGTCCATTCATCGCTACGATGACGGCAACTTCTTCCCAGGAAGCGGAGCGCCTGACGAGGTGTGTTTTTAGAGGTTTTGTTTCAGTGGATCCATCACAGATGTTCACTTTTTCACGTGTTTGAGCCTTTGGAGCAGGTTTGGGACTTATTCTACAAACACGTTACACAAATAWTAATTTGTGAATTTCTCAAAGGCAGTTTCACACACTGGTAATGTTGCTGCACAAAATATGTGACTTGCAAAWATGTCAAGAAAGTAAAACAAATTGCGTTTAGGTTTAAGAAACTCCCTTATACACTTGAATTTTCCCATTTTGTTGCATAACTGACACATTTTGTTTTGAACTTGGCTCAGCCAAAGTGAAACAGGAAGTGACATCAAAGGGGAACTCTTTAAGAAAAATAACTCCCTGGTCTTTGTTTATTGAGACATATTTGAACTCTGACTTGTCTTTTTTTTTTCTCTTTGAAAGTGATTCAAAATAATAAATAGGGATGCACGATAACTAGTGTTAGTGCATTATCTGTTTTGAACTTGTGGAATGACTTTTTCTATTTTGTTTAAATTTGAGATCAGTGTTACGACCTCATCATACAGGAAGACACACAGACAGGTCGCGTCTGTTTAGCTGGTAAACCATGTTTAACAAGGAGGTAAACGCTTCAGTCTTCAGCAAGGGTGAACGGCTGCCTGTCATCATTTCCGTCGTTAAAGTGCTTGAGATCTGCGTCCTCTCTGGCAGTTTTATTGGATTTGTCAAAATCACCAGGAATGATTTAAGTCCCGATGAGTTCTTGAACGYTAGCTTGTTGTTGTTAGCATTTTAGCAGACAGACAGTGCTGCGTTCAGGAGGTAACGGTCTTTACATGTTCTCAAATTGGGAGTAGTTGTTCCGATTGTAGCAGTAACTTGGATTGGAATGTCAAATCCAAACTTTGTTTACCTCAAGACTTTGGCCTCTAAGCATTATTC